GGCCCTGTGCGGGGTGTCCTGGGGGGCGGTGAGCAGCCCCGGGCCCTGTGCGGGGTGTCCTGGGGGGCGGTGAAGCCGGGCGTTCCGTGACCGGCGCCCAGATCCCTGGGGAAGCCAGAGGTATCTCTGCATTCCCCCTGGAGTCAGCCACGCCCCACAGCCAACCTCCACAAAGTGACAGAGCTGGGTGTCCCCACACAAAGGCATTCTGCCCAACCAACCGGGTGCTCGGGGACCCCGACCTGTGAGCGCAGGTCGGGCCTGTGTGTGGCTGCTGCATAGGAAGGAGAGGGGGCCCGGAGAAGCAGAACACACCTGCACCTGCCGCCATGTGGTGGAGGGGCATCCAAGTACCCTCTCCCGTTGGCCACAGCAACCCCACTTAGGATATCATGGGAAGGAAACCTCCCCCAAGTTGGTAAGACATTCGGAGCATGAGCCCTGACCTCATACTTTGCTGCTGTACTGTAAGCAAAGGATGGCTGGCCGCCGTCTTCCTGGATTTCCTCTCCTCTGACACTGGGTGATGAGCACCCCAGACATTGCAAGGAGCAAAGTGTCATACTGCCGCACTCAGCCTGCACAGAAGGCATGGGGTCCAGCACATGGTTTTCAGGAGGAACCGTCAGAAGCCATTCTGAACTCCTAACCCAGTGTCACTAGTCACCCTGCCAAGGCGCGGAGCGGGCTCGTGGGCAGTGGGGCAGGAGAGGTGGGACCAACCTCCGCTTGAGGTTGCTGAGGCACAGAAAAGGTGGCTGGCTGTTGGTACTCGCCCGAAGCAGGTGACTTGTAGGCTGTAGTAGCGGCTGGCTGGCTCGGTGAGTTCTCAGGTGGGCTCTCGGCTGCCTGCTTGGACGGGGTGGACCTGGGACTCCACCAAACCAGCCTCCGGTCCCTCACTCCGTAGGGCTTCTGTAGTGGGAAGCTGTCGAGGACCGGGGTACAGATATTTCCTTGAGACTGGCACTCCAGACACTAAACATCTTAGGGTGTTTTTTTCATTAAAGGATTGCTGATTCAGGGTAGAAGTTACAGACCCACATTAGAACTTGGCCTTGGGCAGCTGAGTCATCCCCGGACATGGCCTGAGAAGTTGCCTCTTCTGGTCCTCTTCTGAGATCACTCCCCCCCACCCCCCCGTCCCCAGCCTGCACAGCCTCGTCTCTCTCTGTGGCCTGCACAGGCTCGTCCCTCTCTGTGGCCAGCACAACCTTGCTGGCAGCAGTCCCTCAGAATTGCACACTGATCTCCAGAGGCCCCTGACAGCCCCCAGAGTGAGCGAGCAGCCGTGCCACGGTTTACAGCCTCCACCCCTCAGTTTCTGTGATTTGGTTTCCAGGCGAACGCAGAACCATCGTGTCCTGCACGCGGATTGTGAACAAGACCACGACGCTGGTGAATGACAGCGACTGCCCACAGGCCAGCCGTCCAGAGCCACAGGTCCGCAGGTGCAACTCACACCCCTGCCAGGCACGGTAAGGAGCCCTGTGCCCAAGCTGGGGCCGGCCAGGGTCGGGGCAGCAGCCCCCACGCACCAGGCGGGGTGACAGCCAACCCCAGGTCGCTCTGGCCACGCCCCGTTTTTGCCGTTTGCTCAAAATGCTGACGTTGACTACCTGCGCTTTCGCCAGCTGGGAGGTGACTGAAGGGAGACCGTCAAGGGCACCTCACGCAGGGCAGACCAACTGGTGCGGGTCAGCTCCCCCAGTCTCTGGTCGGAGAAGAAGGAAGCCACGGTCAGAACTTGAGCTCCCGTGAGGCCCCGCCCCTGAGATGCACGTGTTGGTGTCCCTGGTGTGTCTGGAATGAACTCCAGGGAGTTCAGATCTGGGGCTGATGAGTGGAGTCTGTCAGCGCCTCTGTGCGGGGCCCCGGTGCATGGCAGAGGCCCTCAGACTCTCCGAGTGAATTCTCTGGGGCTGCCACAAGTGGGACTGGGTGGGTCGTGTCACCCGTGAGGCCTCCAGCAGTGGGGGCCTGGCGTGCCGTAGTGACTCTGCAGGGTGGCATCCCCCGGCCACGTCGCCTGGGCTGGAGGTGGGGTTGCTTTGTGATAGTGCACCCCAGGTAGGGCGTAGTCACCTCTTGACACTAGGTTTCATTGTAGACGTGGCCATTTGGGTGTTTCCTAAGCTCGGCTTGTGCCCACCTGCCTGGTACTTTCTTGAATTGTTTGGTTTTCACTCCGACGTCTTGTGTGTGTTAAGCTGGTGAAGCGTGTGACTGAGAGAGGCAAGGCAGCAGGTGAGGGCTTTTAAATTGATTGTAGATGGCTCCTGGCACAGTAAGGCTGAAATGCTACCCTGAGGCCCGTAAGGAGCAGCTCACTTTGTTTGGGGAGTTTCCCGGGACATCTTGGGTATGAGCAGCCACCTTACAAACCATCGCTAGCGCCATCGATCCATCCACCACTCACACTCGCCAATGTGATGTCGCCGAGATCGGGCAGGTCCGTCTGCCCCGGAAAGCGTCACAGCCTGGCTCCTGTGACATCGATGGGGTCAAGTGATGTTAAAGGTGGGGTCAGGTTGAGTTCAAGGACATGACTGAGCAAGAAAGATCTCAGGGAGCCATGCAAGGTCCCTGAGAATAATGTTTGTGGGCTTACGGTAGTGGGTGCAGAAAGTGAAGGGGTTGCCCTTAGCGAATGTGCTAGAAATGCACTGTTTAATCCAGGAGTAAAAACTGAACTTGGGCAGGATAGTGGGGGGTGGGGACTTGTGGCAGCTGGCGGACACGTAGCTGCTGCAGAGAGAAAGCACCTGAGACAGAGCCCGTGAACTGGGAAACAGAACCCAAAACCCACTGGCAAAAACTACATTAAAGAAGCCAAAATGCTACCGGCAGTTGAGTCTGGCGGGTGAAAGCACCTTTTTGTATTTTCATGACTATTTGACCTTTAAAACAGCAGAGATGTTTGACTTTTTCCCTCCCGCTTTCCTGTGTTTCCCCTTTAATGTTACTTTTCTTCCACCCTCTTTTTCCATTGCGTTCCTGACACTTTCCTTTCCCCAACTGTACCCCATTAGCACCTCTTTATTCTAGCCGTAACCCTAGATGTGTGGACACCGTCCCAAGCCATAGCAGACGCGCGCCCACGCGCCGGGCCCACCGCCTCCCTCTCGCACGGCCGCGCGAGCACGCTGGCGCCGCACCGTGCAGATCGCGTGGGTGGTGGTGAGCGACCGCAGCCTCACCTCGCTGACCGGTCTGCAGGGGCGTGGTCCCGCCGGCCCTGGCATCTCAGAGTAACCGTGTGCCAGCTCTTCAGGTTCAGGCTTGAGAGTCCTGGCACGGGAAGGAGGAGATGGTGGGAGACGGCTTGTTCTGAGGCGCCTAGGCCATGCTCCCACAGTTCATACTTCTGCAGTCGTTTAGCGCTTATAGACCACTTGAAAGGCCAGTTCAAGCTATTAGATATTTCCCCAGAGAACTGAGGAATTGAACTTCTTCCCAGGCAGTACATAGTATACTGTACATTGAATTAGAGCGATTCAGAAAAAGAAGATTGAACATCTTGCTAACAATTGAATTGAAGTCGTTTGCAAGGAAGTATATTTGATTTTTTAAATTGTCTTCGTGGTTCAATTATCTTGACATGGTTTGCCCTGTTTGAGGTTAAATTTGAATAGAATTCCTCATGTGGCTATGAATGCATGTTCTTGGAGGGGGGGTGGAGAAAGAGATCACGACTTAAGAATGAAGCCTGAACACGTGAAACCTTAAGTATAGCAAAATCTGAAAAGATTCCATTGTCTAACCTATTTCTAGCTATTCTGAAACTCAAATGTTTTCTTTTCTGCATTCCTCTAAATTAAAACAGGTAAATCTTAAGTGTGCACAGAATAAGCTGTTATATGTCTTACCAGTGGTACATGAGTTATGAGAAATTTAGTTGAATTCCAGAACTTTTTTTCTGACATTATCCAGCTTCCAGAGCCTCACTTCCATTTATGTATATATATATATATTATTTTTTTAAGATTTACTTATTTATGCATATAGAACTTGGGTACAGGCCAGAGGTGCAGGGGCAGTGAGATGACTCACCAAAGACAGAGTGGGGAGCAGAACAGATAGATGAAGCACACTGCTGAGGGGAGCAGCGGGCGGGTCTGGAGAGGTCTGCCGCGCCTGTGGGTCACCTCCATGGCTGGGGCTCGAACTGGCACTGAAACAGCTGCATCGTGCTGTGCTTTAAACCGTTACGAGCCATCACTTGCATTTAAGTTCAATAGTTTCGAAGCCGTTACTTACCTAAGTTAGGAAGTGCTCCAGCTGGAGGAATAAACCGTGGAGAGGTGTGCATTCAGCGCTGCGGGTTCTAGGGCTATGCGCAGACGCCCCTGGCAGCTTCCACCGGGAGCAGAGGCCGGCGGCCAGCGCCCCACATGACCCAGGCATCTCAGGACCAGAGATGCTGGGGACAGTTCCCCACGCCCCTCTCAACCAAGCATCCCTGGGTCACGTTAATGGCTTGTCCTCCCTGCTATAAGAGCCAGCTCGCTCCCTGAGCCGCTGGTTAGGAGCCTTAGGGTGGAGAATTTGGCACAGAACATCACCTTTCAGTGGGAGAGGAGCGTTCCCCCGGCTGCCACCCGCTCTCCCTGTGTCCTCCCCAGAGGGGGTTGCTGGGAAGTTACGCCCAACTTCACCGACCTTCCCCGAGACCCTGGGAACAGAGGCTGACTGCCCCTCTCCCTGTGCCAGTCATCTTCCGGTGGCCTCACAGATATGCTGCACCAGAAGACAAAAGTGGGGGCACCAGCAGGAGGCAGCTGGGTTTGCACGTAGGAGACAGGACTGTCTCCGTGGCTGCTGGTGTCCTTGACGCCCTCCCTGGAGGGGAGGGGGCGTCTGTCTCTAAGCAGTGGTTTGTGCTTTTGTGGCATAAAAAGGATGACAGTGTCATGTGCTAATCCATCCACTTACTTGGCCATTTCTTTTTAACATATTTATACCATGTACACATGGCTCCTTACTATGAGAGCCCTCCCCTACCCACCTGGCACAGTTAGTACCAGACGAAATGAGAAAGGGCCTTGAGAACTGAAAGGGGACCCCAGTCTCTGTCCAGCATGAAGGTCTCTACTCTGAGGGTCTTTCCACACCTTGCAGACCTGTCCCTTTTCCTCTGGGTCCCAGCTTGCATCACTCAGTCAAATCCTACCTTGAAAATAATCCCTTGCCTCCTTTATCCCCCAAACAAATATCAGAATAAGCATGAACAACTTTTACGTACCGTTGAAACAATTCAAATGAACTTGACAAAAGCTGTGGGCAGGAGCCTTCCTATAAACAGGATGACTTCACTGAGTAATGTGTGCACTCTGGTCCCACCCCAGCGTGCATGTTAAATTATTTAAATAGTTGAGCTTATGCCTTATAGAAGCACTTTGCATCTCTTCCTCCCTGGAAAACCACTTGAGCCTTTTCAGAAAGATCAACATTGGCAGGTTCCTAAGCCTCAGAAGGCCCCTGCGAGGTGCATCATGGAGCTTGGGTTCTTTCCAACCCTCTAAAGCAGAGTCTCTGCCCACCTGTTACCTGTGCTGCACTTTTGAAGGCTGAGCTCGGTTCCTTGAGGATCTGCTTTTCCAAATGTTTCAAGTCTTGGGAGTTCCCCATGGTTTACAGCATTATCCTTCTGCCCCAGGGGTAGGGAGCATTAGCTGGGAGGCATGCCAGCTTCTCCTACAGCAGTCGAGCTGAAGGTCACTGTGTCAAGGAAGGAATGCAATGAAGGGTTTCCAAGACATTGCCGTGGGTGGGAAGAGATTTAACCTCTCATAATTTCTTTTGTCTGGGAATAAATTTAGGGGAACCTTATCTAGGAAAGGCTTCAATCCTGGAAGAATAAGGATAGGAAATAGGTGGTATATGAAAGAGGAGCGTGGAGAACCACATTGGAGAGACTCACAGAGTCTAAAGTTATATATGGTTTTCTCTGCTTCTGCTTGGAACCATCCCCAAGAGAGCCTTACAGGAAGTCTGAAATATCCCAGGAAAGGATTTGCACATGAAATCAGTCAGGCTGGCTGCCTGTTTGCTAAGGCCACAAATGCCTGTTTGAATGTTGTCAATGGTGTGTGACATGGTTTCCTTCATCCAATGCATATAGAAAATCCAAAGATACCACGATCAAAAAAAAAAAAAAATGACTATAGAAGCAATAAAGGAACATAACAAAGTGGTAGGATAAAAAATCAGCACACAAAAACTCTGCTGCACTCCTATATGCAAATCATTAGAAGCAAGCAAAATTAAGAAAAATTTACAATTTACAGTTACACTGAAGGATGAAATACCTGGGAGTAAATTGAGCAAGGGAAGATAAAGGATCTATATATACATTGAAATCTGTAAGACACTGTCAAAAGAAGACACAATGATGGAAATATAGCCCGTGTTCATAGACTGGAGGAATAAACATTGTTAAAATGACAATACTGCCTAAAGCAATTTACAAATTCAA